CTATCGAGGAGAGTCGTTTTTGGTTATTTGCTACCAGCTTAGACGTTGCTGGGTAGGAGCCAAGAACTTCCAACGCCGCTTGGATTCTTCCAATCTCTCCGCACACAATTCAATAGAGTAAGTTTCCGCTTGAAATACAGTCGCATTAAGTTCCTAGGAAGGTTGATATTTCTGTCCTGGGTATGGTACTGAAAACACCTGCACCAGAACCGGAAGGTGTTTTTGATCCATCTATGAACCGAGAGTAACTGGATAAAAAAAATGATAGATTTTATGATGTAACAAATTATTACAAGTATACAAGCAACATGGTTCAAAATAAAAATTCAATTCTTCTGATCACATATTGAATTTTGTCTTTAGTTTTTTTTGGAATGTGGATTTCGAAAATTGCATGAAATCTTTAATAATCGTGTTGTGAAAAAATACAGCTAGGATGGCAAATGATTTTCTGAACAGGACTGACGAATGACGAGGGATGTGTAGGTTTTGGTAAGTTCGAAGGATGAAAGAATGGAATTCTAAACTCTTCGTCAATTTATTGAATAGGGGAACAAGTGTTTTAGATTTCAGTACCGAATAAGGTTATGTATGTTCCCTGAGAAGAGACATTGGTGCTCAACCAAGTTTGGCACAAGCTTGGGAAATATTTATTTCCCAAATACAAGAATTTTGCACACGTTGTATTTTAAACTGATTAGCCGAATCCAAGAAGCAACCATAGACAGGGTCTCCATAATTGATGATCGACAGGATAAGCGATTGGGAAAGTAGCTTTCTTGTACTACGGGACAAGTTTTGTCTATGTGTATAATCAACTTTGAGAGTGTTATAGGATTTTAATCATAAGCTGTTTTACATGTGCGTTATAATTTAAATCTTCATCGAAAGTGGTGCCCAAATTTTCTGCAGAGTCAACCCATTCGAGTATTTGATCACCTAACTTGAGTTCATATGATCTTTAACATATTGTTTTTGGTTTATATGTTGCCGAAAAACATGACATGGCATTTACCAAAATCAGCTTCAAATTGTGTTTGCTCGTTCAAGTTCAAGTTGTGTTTACAACTTCAAGGTCATCATTCATGTGATTTTGGGGTGCTAAGATATTATTAGATTCGATACTATGATATAACTGCGTGTCATCCGCAAATGCTTGTAACTGACAATGTTTAATTTGAGAAAAAGTATCTGCAGTGAATAACAAAAAATATGAGAGGACCAAGAATTGAGCCTTGAGGTACTCCTGTTTCTTATCATCAATTCATATAGTTTCTTCAAGGTTCCATGAATGGCCCGCCTATGTATGGTATAGTTAGTCATATTCATTATCGCAGAAATTAAAAAAATGTTGTATGTATACTCAAGTTTTGTTCGAATTTTGTGCATGGTACGGGAAAATTACTATTTTTATAATTTGCTTTGAATAATGATAATAATAATGTTTTATTCCTTTGAAATAATCATTTAACATTCAACAATAACAAGTGAAAAAACATGTATATGTGTAACATAGAGATTACAGTACATTGATTACAATTATTTGGAAGTATACTCAAAATACTCATTGATAGAATAAAAACATCCCTTTAAAAGGTATTCTTTTAAAGGGATGTTTTCCGTTTGAAAATAGACATTAATGGGATACTCTTTATATATGTTCTCTTTGTGCAACTAGAAGTAGCTGGACCAACCATGTAATAGATACGCCCTCTCGTGTAATATGGATGTTGAAAAAGAGTGCCAGGACATGCAATATTGTAATTGCGTGCAAACATCACACCAATTACTTCAAATACGTCAGTTTTATTACTTCACCGAAATGTTTTTCCCTCTATCTATGTCGAATATGTGTTTTTAATTGTTCTCTTGCTTTATGATGAAATCGATACCCCTCGTATGTTTCATTGGTGCATGCCCAAAAACGTTTCAAATAGAACGCGTTAATACAGTTTATTGCGTGATTTTCACTATAAGGGGTTTTACAAAAATCGCGACACGTGTTTCGCTATACAGTAGCTTTCTCAAGCGTCAATAATAAGTTACTTCTAAATTGCAACTATTTTATACTCTAAGATATAACAAAGATGAAAGTACAGTTTCAGAAAAATTGGGAGTGTATATCATGTGGCTCATATAGGTCAGACTGGAAGAACATTCAAAGCCCACGTAAAGGAACACATAATGTGTTATGGTGTCGAATTTTCAATTTTATTTATTGTCATTTAGTTTTTTGTTTATGACAAATTTTTGATCAACCCTACAAAATGTCTTTGGGGTTTTCTATTCGCAATACTTCAGTGCAACTATTAGAATAGGTTTATCTTGGCCCTTCGACTCGTTATATTCGTATTTTCAGAGTTGCACTGTTCTATTATATTATCTTCACCGTAATATTACCTGAAATGTTGAATATTCATTGGATTAAAACACTACACAAGATGTCGCTCATCTCAGCGGGAGCATTATCTGAGTGTATCATTTAATATACGTCTGTAATGTCCGAATTTCCAACAAAGACAGATATTAAACGGTTGTCGGGAGCTCGTGAATGGTCCACAATTCCTGGAGAATAGAGGCTCGTAGAGGTAATGTACCTGATGAGATAGATTGAACGTCTCTCCTTCATTACACAGAGTGCTCATCACTTCGTGAAATATTGATATAAAGGTGTGTTCGTCGACGTGGGAGAATTTAAATGGGATTGAGTTTTTTCCTGAAGGTGTAACTGTGACATGGCATGGCATGTTAATGAAACGAACTCGTGATTGTATTGCGAAGGGTATATTTCAAATAGACCTTGAAATAGAAATATTATCAATAAAATGGATTACAGTTTCTAACCCACATGATTATTGGTACACTTTTCAGCTAATTTTCTACGTTCGAGATGAATTATGAGAGCAAATTCGAGAAATTGATAGTATAACCTCAAAATTGTCACTAGACTGCCAAAATTGTCCTTCGTTTAGCTAGAATTTCCACTTTTATTGCCTTTTTTTGAATTTCTAGAATCTTTAGAAAAACATGCATTTCGAATTAAAGACAACTTTTTCATTTTTCGGAATAGGTGCAAGAAATGACAATTCTTCCCAAAATAAGATCGGTTAAACTAACCAAGTGACAGTTTTAAATTTTTTAACGTAGGGTTAGTTTATAAAACAGAATATATTAGGTTACTTTAAAATCTGTTTTTCCGTTAACCCGCTGTCATCCCCCTATGAACGACAACTCTCAAAAGTCGAAACTTGTGCGGGCCAAGGACTAACGAGATCTTACCTTTTAACGTGTGATTCCTAGGACGGGTTGGACGATAGTGAAAATCGATCGTCCGGCCTCGCGGCTTGAATCAACGTTTCACACAACGGTCGATTGACTGAGTAGAGCAAACCACCCAGGTCAACCCATCAGGCTACCACCCATCTTCGACTCATAGGATTCTCGAACAGAAAAAAATCGAAGTACATAGGGAGAACAATAGCAAATAAAAAAATCGATATCATCCTCAGTATGGGTCAATTAAGAAGCATTGAACTAAATATTAAAATGAAGAAACCAGTTGCAAGGTTTCAAAAAGTTTAAATTTGTTATCCAGTTTCATAATTGTTTTTATATGAGTTCATCCATTCCTTTACAAACTGATAGGAAACTCCACTGATTCGTGTAAACTCGTAAACGGCACCATTTAAATTGTTTTCAGTCATTTTTTCTTTTCTTTTATTTCTAATTGACTTTCCAATACATAACTTTTCAGAATCAGTTTTATTAAATAATATTACTACTACTATTACTACTAATATTGAATAATATTACTATACGTGTTTCGATAACCAAGCGATCATCTTCAAGAGGAAGATTAAACTGTGATCATCTTCCTCTTGAAGATGATCACTTGATGATCGAAACTCGTGTCGAGGTGTTAGAACTAACGATTTGGTGTTGGGAAAAAACTCCAGTAATATTCATTACTACACCAAAGGTTCCAAACAGTGCATCATCAGTTTCATTGTTTAGGAAACAAAGTACATGAGTGATTTGGGCTACACTTCAGACTGTTCAATTCAACTTCGACATAATTGATGAAAATGCATTTTATGTTGCCGAGTTGGAATTCCTTTGTTTCATCATGGATGTCGAATTCAACATTTTCAAGTATAGAGGGACCAAGTTATAGCTTCGGTGCATGCTTTCCGGAAATCTTGAAAATCTAGCGTTTCCCGAATCTGGAGTTTTGAATGAAAAAGGTCCTTTCGTACTTCTAAATATATTTCACAATGGGTTCAAAATGAATGAGGTTTTGCATTTTAAATTCAATATACATTCATGGCAAGACATGCACCGTTAAAACATACCAATGACAAGATTCAAACTTCGAAATTAGTATGAGCTAAGGATTAACGAGGTTTCAATGTTCAACGTGCGATTACTGTCACGGAGAATTGTATTTTGTGTATAAATTTCAAGGGTATTCCTAAACACCGTGTTAGGAGTCACACGTTAAAAGGTAAGACCTCGTTAGTTCTTAGCTCGCACAAGTTTCTCAACTTCTGAGAGTTGTTCGTATGGGGGTGACAGCTGATAACGAAAAACAGATTTTAAACCTACTTAGATGTTCTGTTGATATACGTAGGTATGTCCCTTTTTTATCAACCAATGTTTATTGATGTTCATCCTATTCTTTTAGATCATTTTCCATTCATGTTACATGCCACAAGGTCATCTAATCTTGCATTGTTCATTCATTCTCTCACCACCTTAAGTTCACCTCGGAAGTTGACTTTTGTTTTCGTTGGCCCGTAGTTGTTCGTTGTTTTTTTTTTTTAAGTTGGGCTTCCAAACATTTGGACTGTGTTATTATTTTCTTATTACCTCTCATGTTGAACAAAAATGTTGCTCTCAATATTAAAATATTTCAGATATGATGTTTTCAAAATTGCATCTATTCAAACCTCCTATGGAAGATTCAGTTGTATACATCTGATATTTTTTTTTTGTTACAGGCAGACTAGCCATGAAGCGAGAAGCTGACGGTGATATGGGTTCCCCGCACAAACGTTCACGGAGAGGAGACGAGGAAGTTCGTTTACTTATTCCCAGTAAGGTGAGTAAGACTCAAAGTCGGAACATACCACGGATCAAATGTCAGTTTTTTTTTTGTAAGAGTATGGAGGGTAAAGTAACCGGTCTGACACTCGTTTTTATTTTATGCCGTATCAGAATAATTGCGATTTTACTTCGAAAAAACTGACTCCACCGTTATGAGTTGCTTTGTTCTTAAGTGATGAAGATATTTTTTCATTAATATTTCAAATTCATCAACCTTGAGAAATAAAAAACTCAAATTCGATAACGATGTATCCAAGATGTCAAAATAAATTTAGGGTATAATGAAAACCTTGAAAGAATAAGGTTCTAAGAATAAATGATTTCACAGTTGAAATACTGAAGAAAGCAGAAGAATCCTTCCCTCTTCTCTTTCTTCTTTTTATTGCAATGAAGGGGCATTGAAGAAAGTGGTTGTTATTATTGTTATTTATCGAATAAATAATATGTAATATAATGATTTAGAGAAGCCACATCAACGCACAAGTTACGGACAGCACATCTAACATCAAGAATGTATAAAGCCCTAAAGGACCTTCAGTTTGGATCGTCCTTGATGTTGCTAAAACAGATGACTCACCGTTTAAACTTAATCGAAAAAAATCGGTCTTATGATAAATTGTAATTGAAGTCAGTAAAAAACTTGTCAATTTTATAAGTTAACTGTAGAGTTCCAGAAGGAACGCTAATCGAGTCTTTTTTGTTTTCTATTTATATAAATGAATTATTCAACTTATCGCCTGAAGAAGTAGAAGACATAATTAGTTTTGCTAACAACCCAGCAGTCTTCTGTGTGAATTATTCATCGAAATCGGACAAATAGTCGAAAAATAATCAGGTCAGTTTAACATTTTTAGCAGTAGATTACTTCTATCGTTAATGAATCAAAAAGTTACTTTACATCTTTGGCTGACCATATTAAGAGAATGCAAACTTTCACTGCCATGGAAAATAACCTCCAGGAGTGATATATACGTCCCAGAATATACAGGGTGTCCCAAATGGATACTTCAAGGACTCTCAGAATTACCCCCATATCTATTATGTACTTCATTATACTTCTGAGGGATGAATTTATTTACGTTTTTAAATAATTTTCAATCGGACCAGCTTAAATTTTTTTTTCGAGATATTTATTTTGTTACGTTTTCCTTATGAACTGTTCTTTCTTACATGAAATGATTTGATCTCAAAAAGTGCAGTGACATACGAAAAGTTTCATCGATATTAATAAATCCACGTTTGAACAAGACACAACTGAATTTTCAAATAAAAATTGAAATTCTTCAAAAACTAGGCCTTTCAAAATGATATAAAGTAGTAGCTGAAATCGGCGTTCAAAGGTACGGAGTTGAAATTTTTAGAACAAAAACATTTATCAAACAAATCTGATCATTTTGTCTAGACATGTCTGTAAAGTCTGTACTGAAAAAACTTACAGTATTCATCATTGAAATTGATCTGACAATTTATTAAAAAAAAAATTGCACTTACATGGAACACTGCCATCCTCACTGGTAGACATCGATGTTTCGCCATAAGACACTTGCCTTAGGGCTCTTCTGTACCAATCCGGATTGGATAACCTTAATTATTTTATTTGGTATGCGCAGAAAAAATACTAATGAAAGAGCATCGTAGCTGAATACCTGAATCTGAAAAGTTTTGTAATATGTATTTTATTGTGCAGTTCACAGATATCCCATGGCAGAGGCTGTGGCTACGGATTAAAGAGATCTTATCTTTTAACGTGCAATTCCTATGGCATGTGAAGACATATAATTTGAAATATAGGAAAAACCACAACCTAGACAATTTTAAACCAATTCTGCAGACCTCATGAAAAACTCTTGGACGGTTTTTCCATGTGATCAGCTGTGTTGGCGTCATGGCAACAGAATTCAGAGTGGGGACGGAGTAAAAGAGTAATAGATAGAGAAAAACTGAAAGGGGAATAGAAAGGGAATAATGGTATCACACAGCTGCACGCATTCAACTTTATCGACGAATTTCTGTTATTTCGGCTTGCAGAAATCGTCAGATTATATATTTTTCGTTATCCTTGAATTATTTCCTTCAAAATAAAAAAAAATTAGCTACGCTCAAGAATGTCGAAATGACGTTATTTTTTTCAACTTTGCTGCCCTCCCCTTTATTTACGTCACTTTCAAACTGTCAAATTACTGGAATATACACTTTTCAGCATATAATTAACTCAGCCTACCTTAATCTGACGCGCTCGAGAAGTTCTGATGATCATTTTTTTTACTAATCTGATCCTTTATCCTTCACGGGCGGCCTTATGTATGGGTCTCATATTTGGTGGAGGTACTTAACCGGATACAAGCTCCCTGTATATTAATCTGCTGCGCTTTAGTAAATCCCAAAATCCCCGCTTGGGCTCCCCTATTATAAAATCGATGCCGTGAAGGAAGTTTATTTCACATAAACGCAGTTCTCCAATTGAAAGAGTCCTGAAACAGTGAAGTTCGAGGTTTACTGAGTTGAACCTCTAAATGATTAGCAGCCACAGTCCGTTGCGTATTTCTGATATGTATCGCTTTTGGTGGAATTAAATATGCCAAGTCACTTGAACACTTCCCGTGAATGTAACTATAGAGACAAATCTGCAACCTTTCTTTGATGTTCCTGACGATCAAGGTTGCAGGTGATGTTCGCGTCTCCAATCAGGCAGATGGCTCTTTTCTGGATGGAATTCAGCAGCTTCAGGGTATGCTTTGGGGTGGAGCTCCATACATGAGAACAATACTCCAAAGAAGGTCTCATCTGAGCTTTATGAAGCATCAAAAGTTGCTGAGGTGTGTACAGTTTTCTGTTTCGGAACAGCGTTCCAAGCTTTTGAGAAGCAGCCTTTGCAATTCCAGCGACATGATTGTGCCAAGGCATATATAGTGATGAATGTGACGCTGCTGCTCCACGTCTTTCAATAACTGGTAGCAGTTTCTCGAAATTGCTTTTCAACTCGTACCCCAATTTTCGAAAAGTTATAACAGTTGTTTTGAGATGAACAGAAATTGCATGTGAACATTTCGAATGGCATCCATTATAAATCTCTGCCGGTGAAAACAGGTTACAGTGTTCATGTTTTTGAAATCAATAGCTGTGACATCTTCTGGAGATAATGAGGTTGCCTTCTCAACGAAGCCTACCGTCTAAGGGGTAATTATGGCTCAGGAAAAATGCGAATATTAAATCACATTAAGAAATCTTCCCAACTGCTAACACTGCAAAACTGGCAAAGTCCCCACAACAAATGCAAAATAAAAACACAATCAAGACTAAACTGCTTTTCGGTTCGGCAGAGGTTTCTACTAATCGGCTGAAAATTAGTTTCAGCAAGTAAAGGGTGTTTTTATAGAGGTGTAGAACTTCATGTTGGCAACACTTTCTCAACTGGCGGCCATTTTGTCAGCTGTCAAATGATTTATGTTTAGTTTAGTTTGGCATTTCAAGATGAATATACTGACGTCTAAACAACGCTTCCAAATTGTTCAAATTTCTTTTGAAAATCGTATAGCATGATGATACGCATCCACAGAAACGTCGAACAGTGCGTACAGAAGAAGTCATTGCTGCTGTAGATCGTGCACAGGCATTGGATATGTGTCCATATACTTTATGGAAGATTTTACGAAAAGATGTTGATTTACGTGCTTTTTTTGTACCTTGGGAGCTGTCTGACTTGTCCATTTAGTACAAGTCTCCAGAAAGCATTGCAGCCTCTTGGGCTTATTGCATTTATTCTCCCATCTTCTCATGGCACCCATTCCACCAGTCTTGTTCCCTGTACTAGTTTATACAGGTTCCGTGTTGGATGTTCGTCATATTCTTCTGGGTGTAATTTTGTACGTCCATATATAGCCTGCCTCCTGTGATTCAGTGCCTCACATTCGCATAAGATGTGTAGAGCTGTTTCTATCCCTTCGTTGCATAATCTGCAACTGAGGTCTCCGTTGTACAGCCCCATTCTATTCAGGTGTCCTCTAAGCGGACAATGATCGGTTAGTAACCCTGTAATTATTCTGAGCCGATCCCTACTATATTGAAGTAGTTCTTCAGTTCTTTTCTTGGTTCCCTAATGTTCCCTAATGAATGTTCTACTGTGTTTGTTGGCAGGTACTTTTTTTCCAGTACTTTGTGTGCTTCTTATTGGTCCATGTCCTAATCTGGTTTCGTACCAATGATTTTGGTACCCCCATAGCTGGTTCAGGACCTATATATGAAGTTGATCCGCGTCTAGCGCACTCATCAACGTTATCATTACTTTTGATTCCTGAATGCCCTGGCACCCAGTACAAAGTTAATTTGTTCCTGTTTGCAAGTTCATTCTCTTCATGGCATTCCCAGACCAGTTTTGATGTCACCTTCGGGTTTGTCAGAGCCCGTAGTGCGCTCTTGCTGTCTGTAAAAATATTGATCCACTCATTTCTTTGAGGTCTCAATTTAATAAGCCTTACATACTGCAAGGTTTACGTGCTTACAGAATCCAGCTCATTTAAGAATTGAAGCCACACGATTACCTAGCAAGGCGTAGATTCGGTGAATGGGCCCAAAACAAGAATACCGTTGATCCCGATTTTCATAAGCGAATTTTGTTCAGCGATGGAGTTCACTTTTGTTTGAAAGGATACGTTAATAAACAAAACTGTCGTATTTGGAGTTATGATGATTCTTAAATATATGTTGAGACATCGTTAGATCCAGAAAAACTGACTGTTTGGTATGCTTTATGGGCTGGTGGAATCATTGGTCCGTACTTCTTTAAAAATGGTGTTGATGAGAACGTTACAGTCAATGGTGACCGCTATACAGCCATGATTGCTAACTTTTTAGTTCATCAACTGAACAAGCCTGATGTGCAGGAGCTGCGGTTTCAACAAGACGGCGCAACATATCACACAGCTCGTGTCACAACTGATTTATTGAAGGGAACGTTTGGTAACCGCACAGTTGCACGTATCGGACCCGTGAATTAGCCCCCAAGATCGTGCGATTTAACGCCGCTAGACTATTTTCTGTGGAGATATGTCAAGTCGCTAGTCTACGCCGATAAGTCCGAAACGATTGACCACTTGCAGGACACCATTCGCCGCGTTATTGGCAATATACGGCTAAAAAAGTTGTAAAAAGTCATCAAAAATTGGACTTCCAGATTAGACTATGTCCGAGCCAGCCGTGGCGGTCATATGCCAGAAGTCATATTTAAATTATAATACCACAGGATTATCTTTCGAATTGAGTAAATTTCATGTANTCTTAATTTTTTCGTTTTCACCTTCCAAACTTAACCATGCTCTGGTATTATTTTCTTTCTGTTTATGTTTTAATTTTCTGTTCTCAGGTTGCCGGTTCTATTATCGGTAAGGGAGGTTCGAACATTACCAAGTTGAGGAGTCAGGTCAGTATTTACAATTGAATAATATACTTTTAAGGTTATTTGAGGCATATTTTATCTGAGTTTTGGTTGGATAAAATATTTGCGTCATTGGTCCATTGGATAATTGTATTTGTGATTTCATTTTTTTATAAATGATTACTTTTTTGGGATTACGTTATTTAATGGATCATAATAGCTTTGAAAAACTCTGTAACATTATAACATTGACAGCACAGCTTATTTCAATAAACTAGTTATTTTTCTCTCGGGGTCCCCCTAACACAATGGATTGGTATCCGTGTAACAAGGTGGTTTTTATTCAAATCGTCCTGGCCGTATATTATCTACTAGTGTTTATAAAATAACTTCTGCTCTTTTGCTTCAGTATGCCACACACCACCTCCTCATGAAAATTGCCTATGTCAGATTCCTTATATACCGAGAGTTGGATTTTGTATAGGGGGATGATAATATTCGAACCGTTTGTCTGTACTGTTACATGTTGGATATTTTTATTTCATTTGTATTATATTTTTCTTCTCTTTTCGAATAGTTTTTGTGTTGCAGAGTATTTTTTTATATATTTTATGTACTGAAATTAATAATAATAAATACAATTTCGAGTTCTCTCAATTATCATAAATTAATGATCGATAATTGGTTATTAATTGATTATAATTGATAGACAAATTTAATTAACGAAAGATTTATCCATTACTTAATTTTTTTATCCAATAGAGTTGTGTTCATTATTCATTTTTCTCTAGATCAAAATTTAATGACATGAAGAAAACATTTTTGTTATTTATATTTTTGAAATTTGTTTTTGTTGACTCTGCACTTTTTTTTTCAACAGATATCTGAATTTTTGTTTTAGTTACTAATAGGTAAGCCCCTCTTTCTCGACAGGCTTACTCAATTTTACAGAACCATGACCACGAGAGTGTAGAAGACTTTGAGATAGTCAGTCACTCATTCCGAAGTTTAGTCTTCAGCTTTGAATTCAGTGCTTCCATGGAATGGTTTTCTCGAGGTCTCTCAGTCGTACATAAATCTTCGTATTTATAAGGGAATCCTGTGTATGTAGAAAATCTCGCGACGTAGAATATGAATTGAATGTTAGTTCATATGGCTGGAGTTATTACAAACATTATCTGGTTTCGTACCAATGATTTTGGTACTCCCAGAACTGGTTCAGGACCTATATATGAAGTTGATGATCCGCGTCTAGCGCATTCATCAGCTTTATCATTACTTGTCGTTCGTGAATGTCCTGGCACCCAGTACGAAGTTAATTTGTTCCTGTTTGCAAGTTCATTCAGTTCTTCATGGCATTCCCAGACCAGTTTTGATGTCACCTTCGGGTTTGTCAGAGCCCGTAGTACGCTCTTGCTGTCTGTAAAAGTATTGGATCCGCTCATTTCTTTGAGGTCTCAATTTAATAAGCCTTACACACTGCAAGGTTTACGTGCTTACAGAATCCAGCTCGTTTAAGAATTGAAGCCACACGATTACCTAGCAAGGCGTAGATTCGGTGAATTGGCCCAAAACAAGAATACCGTTGATCCCGATTTTCATTAGCGAATTTTGTTCAGCGATGGAGTTCACTTTTGTTTGAAAGGATACGTTAATAAACAAACTTCCGTATTTGGAGTTATGATGATACTCAAGTGTATGTTGAGACACCGTTTCATCCAGAAAAACTGACTGTTTGGTATGCTTTATGGGCTGGTGGAATCATTGGTCCGTACTTCTTTAAAAATGGTGCTGATGAGAACGTTACAGTCAATGGTGACCGCTATAGAGCCATGATTGCTAACTTTTTCGTTCATCAACTGAACAAGCATGATGTGCAGGAGCTACGGTTTCAACAGGACGGCGCAACATGTCACACAGCTCGTACCACAACTGATTTATTGAAGGGGACGTTTGGTACCGCATAGTTGCACGTATCGGACCCGTGAATGAGCCCCTAAGATCGTGCGATTTAACGCCGCTAGACTGTTTTCTGTGGAGATATGTCAAGTCGCTAGTCTACGCCGATAAGCCCGAAACGATTGACCACTTGCAGGACACCATTCACTGCGTTATTGGCAATATACGGCTAAAAAATTTGTAAAAAGTCATCGAAAATTGGACTTCCGGATTAGACTATGTCCGAGCCAGTCGTGGCGGTCATATGCCAGAAGTCATATTTAAATTATAATACCACAGAATTATCCTTCGAATTGAGTAAATTTCATGTAAATTTGAAAATTCATCTTTGTTTTATTACATTTCAAAGTTTTATACCTCTAGAAAAAACACCCTTATTACCCTAACTTGAGGATTAGTGAATAGTCGGAGAATCCGTAATTTAAAATTACACAGTCTTCAACTACCCAATCAAATCACCAACTTCTCATACAAAAGAACGATCAATTTGTGTTCTTATCGAAGGTGGCATCAACAAATGCCACTCGATTATCGAATAACTCGGAACAATAATCAGTATAAGAGCGGCTTTATCTGCGATTCATTGTTTCACGCGCTAGCCGGAGAGAAGTTTACTAACAAAGTTACGATCGGGACGCTTGTCACACAAATTCAAATTATCGACTAAAGTTTCCCATTCGAAGGCCAACATTCAACACATTGTAAATTATAACAATCGCAAAAGTTAGAGCCGAGTTCGGTACTTTATGCGAGCCATTTCATGGAAAATCGCTACGTATTGACCAAAGCTCTTGAACGTGACGGATTAGATGTTGATGGAAAAATTTGGTGTTGAAGTTTGTGATTGAAGAGCTTTAAAATATTTTTGTAAACTTCTGGAAAAATGCATTTATAATTATGTAACTTGTTTCACTTGTTTGCTCAAGAATAAAAATTATATCGTCCACTTCATTAATTTGGTACTGAACACAATTGATAACTTCATTAGATGTAACTGAATTAAGTAATAAAAGTAGAGTTTGTGCTAAGGTCGGGAATCTTGATTAGCAAGTAGTACATTTTTAATTTTTTGTTTGTTTTTACCTATGTGTTCAAACTTCTCCAAAATATAAATATAATTCAGTTTTTCGTTTCCTGAATTATTTTCCATATGTAAATAGTTGTTATCTATATTAATCAGAAAACTCAAATAGTTATTTTTCATTTCATTTGCATCACNGGTTTTCTCGAGGTCTCTCAGTCGTACATAAATCTTCGTATTTATAAGGGAATCCTGTGTATGTAGAAAATCTCGCGACGTAGAATATGAATTGAATGTTAGTTCATATGGGTGGAGTTATTACAAACATAAAAAAGTCTACCAAAAGTTGCTTTATTGGACAGGGTTGGATTGAAAACTCAAACAAATGGAATACTCAAATAGTTATTTTTCATTTCATTTGCATCACTCGTCATTTTTATAAATAATAATCAGATGATCAAAATGGATATTTGTTTTTCTATATAATATGTAATATAATTCCCATTCCGTTTTAATTTTCTAAATAATTTCTCTTGTGTTTGGTTTACAAAGTATCAATTTATCTTGAAAAATCATCGTGTGAAGGCAAGAAGGGTCATTAAAAATGTGAAAATCCAAAATTTCGACATGAAATCACAATGATAAAACTCTGAAAAAATGAATTTCTGAAATAAAATCGACGGTGATGAGTTGAACTCAGGTAGAAGCTGAAATATTAGGGAAGTTGAGTGAAAAAATCGATTGGTGAATAAAATGACATCGTGTAAAACGGGGAAAGTGCTTTTTGGTGTGAAAAGGTATCGCAAAATTCTGTGTTAAAAATTGTCAGTGCCTTCTTAATTTTTTCGTTTTCGCCTTCCAAACTTAACCATGCTCTGGTATTATTTTCTTTCTGTTTATGTTTTAATTTTCTGTTCTCAGGTTGCCGGTTCTATTATCGGTAAGGGAGGTTCGAACATTACCAAGTTGAGGAGTCAGGTCAGTATTTACAATTGAATAATATACTTTTAAGGTTATTTGAGGCATATTTTATCTGAGTTTTGGTTGGATAAAATATTTGCGTCATTGGTCCATTGGATAATTGTATTTGTGATTTCATTTTTTTATAAATGATTACTTTTTTGGGATTACGTTATTTAATGGATCATAATAGCTTTGAAAAACTCTGTAACATTATAACATTGACAGCACAGCTTATTTCAATAAACTAGTTATTTTTCTCTCGGGGTCCCCCTAACACAATGGATTGGTATCCGTGTAACAAGGTGGTTTTTATTCAAATCGTCCTGGCCGTATATTATCTACTAGTGTTTATAAAATAACTTCTGCTCTTTTGCTTCAGTATGCCACACACCACCTCCTCATGAAAATTGCCTATGTCAGATTCCTTATATACCGAGAGTTGGATTTTGTATAGGGGGATGATAATATTCGAACCGTTTGTCTGTACTGTTACAATCGTATTTATAAGGGAATCCTGTGTATGTAGAAAATCTCGCGACGTAGAATATGAATTGAATGTTAGTTCATATGGCTGGAGTTATTACAAACATAAAAAAGTCTACCAAAAGTTGCTTTATTGGACAGGGTTGGATTGAAAACTCAAACAAATGGAATTTCGAAGCAAAATGGTGATATCTCTTTCTGAAAAAATAAAATAATCTCGTGATAATAATCAAGTTCACTGAAAAGTTCTTTTCATATCACTATCTGATATTAGTCGATAATTTAATACATTTTTATTTAACTATGTAACGAATCTGAAGCCGCCCCTGACCAATACCCCGGCCGAATCATGACACAAACACATGATGTCACCCCGAAAGAATGCAATCGGCAATCGTCGGTAAAACTCTAGTCGAGTACCGAACCGACTACATATTTCTAGAAAGAACAGTTACATAACATAGGCCCGGCTTCCTGACCCAAGAGGGCAGTTCAGAAAGTGAATCGAGCGGCTAAACAAGAAATTCAAATAGTGGAAATAAATTTAGCGTTAGTTGCTAAGTGTTGTGATTTAATTAGTTTGTGATTAGTGAAATATTAAAATTCCATATTCAATCATTTGGATGCCAATAAATCTTATATATGCATAAATCTTATATATGCATAAATCAAGTAATGACGATTTTTACTAAAATTGTTCGTGAACATGACATGTAGAACAAAGCCTTGTGTATCAGTTAATTCGTGCGACATTTATGTATGACTGAGAATCAACGTTTCGGCCATTCCCAGCCCGAGCCGTCAAGTGACCACAGCCACGATAAATATATTAACTAATTGTCTTCTGTCCCCCGGTCGTGCCACCACCCTGTGCCCACCCGATTCTGCCACCTGCCATCAATGCCCGCCATGTCATTTGCGTTGCCATGCCATGCCAACATACATCTGCCAACAACAGTACAAAGCCTCCATTACTGTCCCTGATTGCCCAGGCCCTGAACGGTAAACATTTTAATAAAAATCTCTTTTTTTAGTTGTGCTCACCCCGGCCCTGGTTGCACCTATGACTGAATATGTATATAATTTGTTCCAGTATTCTCCGTACTTTTTTTATTTGTGTTTTCAATTGTAATACGGAGGCGGTCTGAAAAGTTTTCGACCTCAACATGCAGCACTCGTAAATAAAAGCTAGTGAATTTCGTTGCTCATCTATTGACAGTTACTCGGCCATTTTGGACGCCCAGTTGTTATGTAACAGTCGTTTGAGTGAGTTGATGTGATTGTTTTTATGAAAATGGACAAAATAGAGTATCGAGCTGTCATTAAATGGGATGCAATGAACGTTGGGAACATCCAAAAACTGCAACTACCGACGAAAACTTCGCCAAAGTTCACCAAATGGTGCTAGACGACTATCGAATTGAAGTGAGAGAGATAGCAGATGTCATGAACATGTCGCAAAACTTGTTTGTCACAAACTAAATAAACATTTTGGCACGAGAAAGCTGTCCGCGCGATGGGTGCCGCGTTTGCTCACGTTAGACTAGAAACGTGTTCGAATGAACATTTCCAACGCTCTGTTGACGCAGTTTATGCGCAATAAATCCGAGTTTTGGCGCAAATTAATTACTGTAGATGAAACTTGGATACACCATTATCGCCCGAAACAAAAATACAATCCAAACAGTGGACTTCGAAAGGAGGGACTGGCTCCCAAAAAAGCAAAAACTGTTTTTTCTGCTGGGAAAGTGATGGAGTTATTTCAATCGATTATCTTCACAAAGAAAAAACCATCACAGGAGCATATTACGCATCATTACTTGACAAGCTGAAGGCAGAACTTGCAGAAAAAGAAAATCGTTTCACAAATACAACGCACCGTTTCACTCCTCAGCGGTTGCAATGGCGAAAATCCACGAATTACGGTTTGAACTGCTTGACCATCCGCCTTACTCACCAGATCTAGCCCCAAACGACGTCTTTATGTTCCTTCATTCAAAAGTTGCGCTCAGAGGACAGAAATTTTTGTCAAATGAGGCAATCACCTTCGTGAAAAATTATTTTGCAGATGAATACCCCGAGTAATACACGGGGTATTCATGGACGGGGTTACAGAGATGAGAAACTGTGAAAATGTCTTGTATATTCGTTGGATCGAAAACTTTTCAGACCATCCTCGTATTGTGTTCCACCATTTGAAGTTCGACGACATGCTGTATGTATTCTTCGTTATAGGGAACTTGAAAGTTATTGTGATGTTTTACAGTTTGGATGTCCCCAGCCGTAGCAGCATTAAAAAACATACTATAAAATTGAATATCTCTAAAGTGATGACAACTGTATAGTAAACGAATGTCAAAATTAGGATCAAAAATCAATTTTTCTCAAAAAATGGACTAGCAACTTTTGAGACGTAGATCGAGATCAAATACTTCGTTTCATTGTGGTTTCATTTCCCTATCATAACTTGAAAAACTGTAGGGTTAGCCATAATGTTCATTAGGTATTGATGAAGGAAGAAAACACCCAATGAGATAAGAGAACCTCAAGGTTCAGATCTGAGGCCGCAGCGTTCCATCATTTATGTCAGTCATTTTGCCAATATTATATGACACCCACCCTGCTTGTTTCTGATGAGCGTGAACGAGCATTATATTTATTCCTTCAATATTTCGACAAAATACAGTGCTATGCTGGGTTATATCTGGATAACAGACTGGTACAGTTAAAAGTGAGCTCTGCTTAAAACATTTTCAGAAACTACTTTCTGAAAACAACGTTTTTTTGCATTTTTCCATTCGGGTACAATGGCTCTTACTCTAATGAAAGTATTTATGAAGATGTAAAAAGCGATAAGAATACAATTGGGCCAACGAAAGAATACACAAGCATCATCATATAACATGCGATAAAACACATATTTTTATATAGCCTCCTTTTGAAGAACATGAAAAAAGAAGTGTTGAGAAATTTCACTATTAGTAAATTTCAAAAATAAAAAAACTACTTCGAAAGCTTAGGTTTCGTGACTTATCGAATGCACAAATTGATGACGCATGTGTATTTTTTGCTGACTCAACTATAAGTATAATTGCAGTGCGATGAGTTCCATTGTTTCATTTGTTTTATGAGTTATTGCTTTATGAGCAACACTTCCGTTTGTTACTCTTGAAAATCTTAACCAACTGGGCAAAACAAAAAGTTGATAACTCATATGAAAGAAGTCACAAGGTCTTAAAAATTTTATGTTAAAATCCAATTGAAAGCCATTCTACGTACTTCAAAACCATGCAACTTGTTCGAACGTCAAAACTCGTTATAAATAACTGAGGTTCCATATTCTACCAGCGCAATATGTGAAATATAAATTGTTGTTTTCTTGAACCAGTTGTTACCCTCTGTTGTTGCATATTCACTGCTAATTAAATACACTTGATGACGCTTTCTGTTTTACGTATTTGGGTGAATATTTTGTAATATCTTATTTGTCTGTCACTTCAGAATACTCGTACACTACTCATGTATGTTTTCAAAAATGTTTCCCGCATCGTCAATATTATTTTTCCGTTCCAAAATTCCATTACATAGAATAAAGACTCGCCAAGTAGCGGATAAATTATAAAGACATATGTCCCTATAATTGATGACTTTGAAAAATCAATAAAAAAATAACTTCTAATAATAGTAGTTGCAGTGAGACTAAAGATTTGAATCAACGAAATAGTGGAACATGGCAAATATACCCCAGAATCATGTTTCATAGCTACAACAAATACCTTAAGTATGAAAGTTACTACAGCAAAACCTTTTGAAGGAATGTTATTGCTAAAGTCTGAAATATCGATTTGGGTCCCCGATTACCTCTGCTGGAATGAGTGGTGCAACCAGTTTTACGCCGGATATGTCCGCTAGGTGGCATTCTGAACTCCCATATCACGTCATGTCACAGATACCTTGATAAATATTAAATGTCAGAACTGAATTGAAAGAACGTTATTGATTTATATATTTTCCACTTTTTTTAGCATCCATATATTTTATACCTTCGATATTCTTTGAGTTCAGTTGATGAATGATTTTTATGAATTGTCCTCATCTATACATTCATTAGCTTCAGCAATTTTTAGGTAACTGTGCTAATCTTCCTTTGCAGGTTACTAAATATTCTGATTACTAACAGACACTTATGTACACAGTAAAATAGAACTTTTGTAGATTCTAGAATATGTATCGTAATTGTTTTACAAAAAATGATCGGTAATTGAAAATGAAAAAAAGGTTTCTTTTTGCTCATACACTTTTCATGAATGTATAAAAATATTTCACTAATGGGTAAAATATTCTATATGCGTACAATTTATGGTTGAACTTCAAAAATTCAAGAAAGAAAAATTAAGTTTCGGAACATCAAAATGTATTTATCAAGTATGCCGAAAAAAATTCATGAGAAAAAATTGGATGATGGCAAAGAAATTCAAAAATCTATATGATTGTTTAGTATTGTTTTCGAATGAAACGTCCTCATCATTATCATGAAAATAGTATCTTCCACTCTCTTTCCTAAGGCCTGTCCTATTTTCTTCCATTGATTGAAAAAATTGTAAGCCATCACGGGACGCCTGGCAGATGTGAAACTCAAGGTTGATAATATTTTGTGACCCCTGTGATGATTGTTGGGTACAGAAATATTTATAAAAAATATTTAACTGAAATACACATGTTAAAATTTTATTGTGGCTTTAATATACTTAACTAGTTATTGCAATAGACCACTAAAGAAACTTAACGATGCTCACTTTCACTTTCTAAATCATTACTGTCAAGACCTATTTTATTTTTATTTATTTAAAAAAGTTATTTATTTAGTAGAACATATACTGTAGTAAATACAACTGTATACACTATAGGTATCCGAGCTCAGTGTGACAAGAAACATAGCGTAAGGCCGAACCATTGGGAAGAGAATCGCACAGTTGCTTGCGCGTGACGACCCGTCGCCACGGCGTGCGTCCCCAGCCAGCAAACAACGAAATATCAAAAAAAATATCATACTCGTAACATTATATACGAGTGATTTTGTTGTCTAAGGGAACCATTGTTAATATGACTAGAATGGTGAACTTCAACGAGACAGGAATCCACATAAATCCCGACACACTTTTGAATAGGGAAGATTTTTTTTCTTATACAAAGTTGGATGTGTCTCATTTTGTTGAAAATAAAGAGTCTTTTGTAACAACTGCGAGACCAGGGAAAGTGTACTATCCCAGTAAATTGTCACGGACGTCCTCCATTAATCTTTTCTGAACTGGAAAAGCATGCTTTGCGTTTTTGGTATTGCAACCCTGTTGTACGACGCGTATATATCGCCGTACAAGTGTCTGGAAACTCGCTGTTTGCCGTTCCAGAAAATTTCAATTATTCAGTTTTCGTACTGTGTGTGACTACTCCACGTGACTAATGGGGCACGTTTCTCAGGTGTATTAATTTTGTGGGGATTGCAATTCTGAACACGGTAGCCGTGCGACGAGTGAATGTGGAAGTTGCGGTAATTAATTATCGTTAGTTGATCTAGTTTGGACTGTTTAGGATAATGAATTCGCAGAATTATAGTCGACTCGTCGAATATTAAGATTAATTCTGTTGAAGTCCAACGTTAATTTATAACAAGGATTTCGAAACGTAAAAAATTTGGCCGCCATGTATGTGAATGGTGCTGAATAAATCCCAGATAATCCATAATATAATTAATTTCTTCCTGTACACAGTTATAATCATACTCATTGTCATTGTTCACTGTGGTTCTGGCATTGAATCTGGTCATTATTACGCATTTGTTAAAGACGAAACGGACTGGTTGAGTTTGACAATAGTCACTAAGTGTTGTGGCGATGTCTTAATTTTTTGAGCCTCTGGAGACATCCTACATTTTATTCTATGAAAGAAAGGACATTTGCAGATCAAGATCTTCGGATGATGTGGAGCTGCAGATTTTTCCGGGTTCTCCTGCAGATTAAAAAGCAAATGCACCACTGGAATCAATGAAGTCACCCCGGAGCGCCAATTTTTTTTTTGGTGTTTCATAATTTCATGGTGTGTGTTAATTCAGAATGAAACCACTTGAAAGCAAAAAAATTGAAGAAACGTAAAATGTAATTTTATTTTAAACAGAAACAGAAAAAGTGATTCAATCCTTTCAAAAAATACTTCAAATCCTTGGGAAATCTGTGGAAACTCACTTTTCCACTGCACTAAAAAGTTTACCCTTTCTAAACAATTTCTACATTACAATTTCATATTTATCAGATTGTTGAAGATTCAAATGACCAAAGAAGATCGATAAAAACGCGTATATGGTACAGAATTTAAGTTGTGTTGGGTGAAAATTATAATAATTGTCTGAATATTTGTTATAGGTTGCTTTGATCAGATTAGCTGTCAATTTTTTATTACATATTCCCACATTTGAATGTATGATACAATTAGTTGTAGTCATGTATGTGTTTGAAAGCTAGCATTTTTCTCCTTCTCTTTCTCCACTAGTATAAATGAAATGACGAGCTTTAGGCTTTTCAAATATGGGTGGTTTTCAAAAAGAAAGTAAACCAAAGAATAAGTTAAAAACTCGTGAAAGTAAAACAACTGAAAATGTTAGCAAATAGAAATGATTATGATTCGAAATCATCTCGTTGGATGTGTTGAATATTATTGTATTCAACTGTTTGGTTCTTTATTTCTTTGATCTCACATTTTTTTCTTTATACTATAATATCACAGAAAATTCATAGCCAAAGTTAACGTTGCAAGTTCCATCGAATGAATTTTATTTTTGAGAATCTCAGGATGTCTGAAAGACTTTTTTTAATAATCGAACTAAAAATTAATATATAGTCAACTATCAATTTGAAAATCGGGCGAATAGGTTTCACAGACAGGAATAGTAATAACACTATAATTATGTAATTCAGAGAAGATATCTGGTACATCAGTACATCATTTATTATTTAAATTCCCAGTTGATTATATAATAATTATCCATATATTCAGTAGAATTAGAAAACTGTTTGAGGGATTCAGTTCATCAGTGGATTATCGAAAAGTGTTTACTTTCGGGACAGTTAATTCGAAAGTGAATTCAATTTTAATTTGTTGATTATAACTTCGAAACTTTTTGACAGTTTGAAAAGCCGTCGTCAGAAGAGAATTAAAATGAAGGAAGACTTTATATTTGGACAGAGTTTTTCCAGTATCATTAAAGTTTTAAGTTGGTTAACAAACTTTTCCGAATAAGTTTTTTTCGCTAACTTGTAATCACTTAGCTCATTATTCAAGAATGCTTCTTTATGGTACATTGGCAGAGCTAGGTATAGAAACAACTGAAAGTGCAGACATTTCGGGGTTTGTGTCAGTATTTAAGTAGGGAAAATGTTCAAGTAGGAAAAATGTTTGTAACAGAAGAAAATTCAATTTTTTGATTAGTGAAGTTTTTAAATACTGTAAATGAAGCGTTTTCAGCGCTCAAAATGGGATGACTTGATGTTTCACAGTCGTCAATCACTTATTACTTTTTCCCAGCTATTCGAAAATGAAGCTCAAATTTGCAACAATCAACATATTATGGAGTGAATCTCTATTGAAATTTATTCAGTTCTATGATGGCGCTTCAGTTTTTGTACCAAGGCATGATTAATCTAGCCATAAAACTGATGACCAGATATAGACATATTTTGGGATTCAATAATGTCTTTGAATGTTTTTTTTATTGAAGAATTAACAAGAGAAGAATTGAAGCACTTTGTATGTAGTTATGAAACTACCAAGTATGGTTTGAGGCCGAACCCAGATTCAAAACTGAATTTCTGGTACACAAAAATGAAATCCAGTTTGCTATGTTGCTTTGGTAATATTTTCGACATGTTCAGATTCAAAATACTTTTTAATGATGAAGACAATGGAAAACAAGGATTTTTTTAATGTACTATTGATACTAAAAATGAATTGTACGATGGTTTAATGCATGCAATAAATACTGGTGAGTCAATTCAATCGACAAATAAAACAATAAAATTAATTGAATTGTAAAAAAAATTGCGGTATTTCGGTATACATAATATATTCATGTTTTAACATACCTATTTGAAATAATTTTTAAATTTTTTTCTGTCAAACCCACACAGTAGGAATGTATGTTTATGTTAATAATAGTAATAGTAAATGATGTGTTACTCAATTTATTAAGGTAAACTAAATTCATGAATGAGCTGAAGAAATCTTTTTTTGCGTTATCGGTCAGTTTTTTTTCTAGGGGATGGTTTACTAACGGAAAACATGATAAATAATCCAAACATCGATTAACCAGAACACATTCTCTTCCACCCCGTCATGCCCATCCACCAACTTATTGAAATAAATTGGTCATTTTTCTCAACTTGATTATCTCCTTCCCCTCAACTCAAGGTCGTTCTCTGCATAATCATCCCTTCTAGAACGCCCTCCTCCCTTCAGAAAAAATCCCAATGTACCCCAACCGAATTAATGAACCCCTAAACCGCTTCACGTCACCCATTCAAGGCTCGATCGAAGATTGTCCGCCCAATATTTCCACCATCTCACTAACCGAAAAACTTTCCCCCTTCGACTTTTCCTACATTTTAACTTTTTTCCCTTCTCGAAATTAACTTGATTTTGTTTACAGGCTGTTAACGTTGTCTTCCGATATGGATTCCGTCTGCAATATCGTGGGAGACGTCATTCCCAATTTGGAAGAGGTGAGTTAGTGTCTATAGTCCGGTTAATTTTGGATATAGGCCGGTAAATTTAATGAGCTTCCGGGCAATGATGGCCGATGGAAATTCAAAATTATAGAGTAGGAATGTAGAAATATATGTTCATTTGGGTGCAATGTTTAGACGTTACTGAATAATACAGAAAATTTTGCTGATCTTATTATTGTAATCTTGGATATGGTCATTACAATGCATTAAGCAAAAGTGTCATCTGTGGAGAACGATATAAATAATTTTCAGATCGCGAATTCGATTTGTTGACTAACATGATTTGAGATAAAAATTATTTTAATAAATATGTATAATTCATAAAATTTCACACAAAATACAGGCTGATTCACGGTGGATGGCACATTAGACGTTTCTGGTGAATCAGACAACGGATCACTTTGAAAATTTAATGGAGGGCATATTCGGACATTCTCTAGCCAACTAAAATATTTTCGACAATGCGATGTTGCCGCTTCTATTAGAAAGCAGTAGCAACTTTGATTTTTNTAGAGGTAAGCTAACTACTTATCGTGTAAATTATATCATACTATCTAGTCAAACTGAATATTGATAATAATAATAAAAGTATTTTGAATAGCATCATCAGCAGAATACCGTTTATGTACGATATACGTTTATTCATTTGTTTTCATCTCTAGAGCTTTTCGCACTTTTTTCGTTTTCGGCTCAACTTTCCGTTGTTTATTTTTTTTTTATTTCAATAAACCGCATCAACCCTTTGGGTCATTAGCGGTGGAGTTGATAAATAACATTTATAACTTCCTAATTAAATCTAAAGTGTGTGAAAATGGAATGATTTTGTTACTATTACTATAGTCTAACATTTCTTTCAAGTTAGGGGATATCTTAAATGTGTCTATCTCAATTTGGAATAGAGGGCATAAATGACTAACATGATTTGAGATAAAAAATGATTTGAATAAATATGTATAATTCATAAAATTTCACACAAAATATATAACAATCATATCATAATATGCATTGTTTTGCAAGCATTTAATGCCCTAGATGCCGATGACGTCAATCTAATAAATAATTGATAAAAGTAGTTATTGAATGCCTGGAAGAGATTTAAAGGCATTCAAACATATTTCAAAATGAATTTTTTATATTTTGTGTGAAAAGACAAAGTATCATATTAAAATTTTCGCTTTTTCATGGAACATATAGAATAAATTTATTTATTGATCTCACAGCATGTCTTCAATTAACCATCTGGACAAAAATAATTGCTCTAGCAAACTTCCTAGTTTTTTTTTTTCAATAAACCAATGGATATTTCAAGAAAGGTACGGTTTTGTTGAAGGATGTATCACTTGAACACATATCAGAATTATGCCAGGGGACTAACAACTGAATCATAAGAATCTTTTCCATATAGAAGCTGACGTCTTATTCAACTTTTCGCAATGATCAACATATGCCCAGGAATATTAAATTTTGTCATTTTGACGTCGCTACCTATTACAATCGTTCGAAAATCGGGCCCCAGGTGTCCCAAAGTGTGAAATTATACCAGACTAAGAAAAAAGTTTGTACCGACTCCCTAGAGCATACCAAAATATCTACCCTTGCAAATTTTCAAAACAAGTTCAATTTCCAAAATACGGCTAAACGATTTGAGTACTTTTTGATGCTTTTTTAGGTTCTGCAGTATTTTCTGTTATCGTCACAAAGATACCGTTTATTCCATGCTTTTATTCCATTTTTAAGCAAGATATTAAATTAAGTTCATTTTGAGGATGTTTTACTTATTGAATCCTCACTAAATTTTCACTACACAATATTTAAAGCTAAACTTTGAATATGTTGGTAAGTCATATCCCGTTCATCTGTACAATTCACCGCGGAAGGAGTATATTTGCATGAACGATAAAATAGATAGTTGGCGGTTGCATATCCGCTTGAAAATTGTGTAAATATCCTTAGCAGGAAATTGGGGTCGGTTTGATTTTGATTTGATGTCGTATGTATCTTAACTGTAAGCGTTTTCACGGCACTTAAGATTAATAAGCAACGAGAAGTGAATATTGAAATATGCCTAGTATATTTGCATGAGCGATAAAATAGATAGTTGGCGGTTGCATATCCGCTTGAAAATTGTGTAAATATCCTCAGCAGGAAATTGGGATCGGTCTGATTTTGATTTGATGTCGTATGTATCTTAACTGTAAGCGTTTTCACGGCACTTAAGATTAATAAGCAACGAGAAGTGAATATTGAAATATGCCTTAAGAAATTAATTTTAATCTGAGGAGTCCGTATTGGTAAAAAAATGTTTTTCACTGTTCATTTTTTGTCCATGAGTATTTTGAGAATCAAACGCTCGAGTTTGATAATTATGATAACTCAAGCAGAGATTACTAATTGTAGGCTCCAATTGAACCAGTTTGCATCTGAATAGCAGACTATAGTTATTTGTCCAAGAGGTATTTTGTTTCTGCCTTCGGATCAACACACACTTGTCACTGATTTGTTTCCAGATAAGTAAATTTAGAATATCACAAGAGAAGAGAAAACTAGATACAGCGCAGGGATCTCAAAGAATGGAAACTATCAACAATAATTATGAATAGATCAATTACTTTCTCCATTATTCAGTGTTGACAACCTTGTCGTTACGAAAAATTGAAAAATGTACACCAGCGTTAGAGCAGACTAATTTTTGAGACGGAAATGGGTTTCTTAGGACCGAATTAAATATTTCCAATCTTGAACTGGTAAATTATTTTGTCTTATAACAAAAACGTATCCAAATGAAACTAGTTACGGAACAGACTATTAGTGAAGCCCTAAGATGAACTCTGTTTTTGCGACAATCTAACTGGAAGTATAAAGTCATGTTGTTTATGCTAAAAGCCTTCTCATTTATCTGTTAAAAAAATTACCCAACTACGATGTAAATTAATTTGAAACTAAAGCAGAAACTATTATATTACAGTTTTGCACTATTCCTACTATAAGAGAATACGAAATAATGTTTATAAATCTTCTGCCATTCAAGTCATCTATCCTCTAGGAATACGCCGGAACATTCCATTTGCCAATTTTGATCGATAATCTTGTTTGCTCAACTTTACCACTACAATGGTTCGAGGTATATATTGATTATCGTAATGGAGGCGATATTAGTAATATTACACTAATTGATGCTGAACCCTGTCGATATTTGGCTTTATTATAATATGCTTGTTACTGTACGCGATTTAGAATTTTGGTTAGTATTGGAATTGAGTGATATTTGATTCGTTTGAAGGGATGTACCTGTGATGTGAGGGGTATCATTTATGTTACGGGAATAGCTAATAATAACAAATATTTTTTGTAATGAAAACGGCTTAATTGTTTTTCAAAATATAAGTTTTGAAATTTCACCATAAGTTGATTTTTGTTTTTATAATAATTAATATCTAATAACGAAAAAATGTCGAAGCCCACTTCTATCATGTTCAAGACTTTTACAGAACAAAGAAGGCAAATGAAGGGAGCAATGTTTCAAATCGCAATATAAAGATGTAGTATAGTTATAGAATAATTATTATCAAATTGTTATGGCCACCTTGTAAATGCATTATTGTGCATTACCTGTCTTTCAATATCAACCTCAGTCGAATAACATTGACCCAACTAATTCACCTTAAAAATATCTGATGAACAGAAAACATATTTTTCTCGACCATCTTCTGTTGATTATGTCATTTTTGAAAACTTTGAATTCAACTTTTCTATTTTTTTTTTATGAACAGAGATGTGTAGATATTGTATTTTTTTTGGTGGGGTAATTTTACAATTTTTTTCGTTCTCGTCTGACACGATGGACTTTACACGTATGATAAAAATAGTTCATCAATGCCTTGTTCTCGTTGCTCATGAACATTTTCGACTCTTCAAACATATGCTGCATGTGAGTGAAACCGTCATTGTTGATTTTTTCGGCCTAAAAATTCGGAAGTGTCACCAAGTGGGTGACATCTATAAACATATTGTTCATTGCCATAAGGAACCATCGTCATAAACAACAGAAATCAAAAAGATACTTTATCGGCTTCTACTTTACATCCAGTATTATCTTTCAAATAGCGAATTATTTCCATCAACAATGTTTTAGAGAAATTTCAATACAAAATGTCACTTGTGCAATTCGTAGTATGCACTAACTCCTTTCGGTAATGGTCCCCTCGTTTCGTACGGTCTTACTTAACAATCCTAACCATGTCTGGCGCTAACAGCAAAAGGAATTGTGCCCCCAGAGTTGTCAGAACTTTTGAAAGTTCGAAAAACTTGTCCTACAACGTCAATTCCAGAATCAAAACAGGATGCAATCAGACCGCAGAAGCAGTTCCTCTATAGTGGCAACCACTATCTACAAAGTACGGAACAAGAATAACAATTTGTGACGTTTTCAATGAGATAAAGTAGGGTTTAGCTGTCGATTTGTGAAAAGGAGATTTTTTTTCCATTGGTGTACCTGGTGAAAATGTTCCTAAGGAATCGGTTAATAATAATAATACCAGTTTATTTCAATAAATAAGGTTGTACACAATGATACAAATGGGTTAAATGTACACTATGACAAAATTATTGTGAAAGACGTCAATGGGCGCATAACATAATACAGGGCTTTTCATGATGAGCGTTAATTAACAGTTTCTGGCAAACCATTCAACAAATCAACCTGAAATTTCCACAGTATGCAAAAGTCAATATGACCTACACGCCTAAAATATTTTAGACGAAGCTGCGTTGTCGCTTCTACTATAAAGTAGCACTTCTTTGATTTTTCAAATGGAACACCCCATATATAATATCATATTATGATTCATTATCACTTTGTCAACAAATTCATATACTATTTCCCTATACCTATCTATTACCGTTTAGAAGATATAAATTAATTTCGATATTTTTTTTACCAAACATGAACTTTTATAAATGCTGATAATCTTGAACTCTCTTCCACTAAAACGATC